AGAAACATTCATGTATTGGGTATGCGCGAATGCGGGTGAGTGGATATGGTGCCGGTGTCGGTGTCGGTGAAGAAAAGGCCTACACCCATCCACACTCAAAGGGGTGTGAGTGTGGATGCGGATGAGGCTAAGGTGTGTAGGCATGGATGCAAGGGGAAAACCGCACGAGTGGCATATCAGCAACTGCTCAACACCTCAGTACCCGTTCAGCACCTACCACACTCTAAAAAAAATAGGTTTTTTACTGAACTTCAATAGTTCTGCATTTTTGCACCCAACCATTTTAAGTTTAGTAGATTGAAAATCGTTTCGTAATCGCCATACAAAACCTTTTTAAGTTTAGGAGATTTAATGAGGTTTCGGAATTTACATGCGAAACCGTACGAGAGTTCCGTAAATTGATTTTTAGTTTCTCACATCATAGACTAAACCTCTGATAGTTTCGTAAATTGCTTTATAGTTTCGTGTATGATGTACCAAACCTCTAATAGTTTTAAAAATTGATTAGTGGATTGGCATACATTTCACTAAACCTTCGATAGTTTCGTATGGTGTCTAATGGCTTCGTACATCATGTACTGAACCGTGGATGATGTCAGGAGTTAGTTTATGGTTTCGTACATGATCTACAAAACCGCAGACAGTTTTATTAATTGGTTTATGGCTTGGCACATCTTCCACGGAACCTCTAGTAGTTTCGTAAGTTAATATATGAATTCCTAGATCATGTGCTGAACTTTTGATAGTGTCGGAAGTGTATTTGTGGATTCGTACATCTAGTATCAAACCTTCGCTAGTTTCGTAGATCGCAGAAGTTTTTGTGATATGTCGACGAAAAAGTTCTGGGCATCGTTATGTAACCAAAGCTCCTGTTTTTTATGCGAATAATACTCTTAAGTTTCGCAGCAAATTGAAAAGTCCCATCATGTAAACTGAGCTTTTCGCCATGATATTAATTGGAGATCTCGAACAGTTCGGCTTCAATTCTGATCTGTCGAACTATTCGATCAAATCAGTTCTAGGAACTGGTCCACCAATTTGTGAACACTATCTAGGGATGCTCTCTATAACTTGACCACAGCTCTCCGTACCGAGGAGTCTACTGAATTGGAAGACACTTCCTTGAGACGTATGAGCTTAACATTTTCCCTCAATACATCTCTATTTCTAGGTAGTTTTTTCTCCTTTATTGCAGAGACAACACAAGGTATTTTTCCGTGCATATCATAGAGAACCATTGGTAACTCCTGGACCGACCAAGACAACACTATCCTTTGCATTGACGATTGTGAGAAAATCTCCTGCTGAGATCTGATTCATTAGACGCGTCGGGTTCTCTTTCATATACCTTCAGCAATAATATATCTCCTCTATAAAATAACAGAAAAAAGCATTCCGGAAAAATAGTAGTTTTCTGATGAAAATCTCAAGTTCACACACCTCGACAAACTGTCTTACGATTCCGATTACTCGATGTCCATAATTCTGATAAAGTTAGAGATGATCCCTAGAAAATCTTCAGAAAGTGAAAAGGCAAATCTTCAGCCCATCTTCAAGAAGCTATAAGGACTATCCGTAAATAGTTTCAAAGAATTATAAGAATCAACCTAATTAGTTCCAAATAGTTATATGGACTAATCTTAGATAAACTCCAAAACGTGATAAGGACGATCTCCTTATAGTCGCCAAAGAGTTATATAGACTAAACTATGATAATACCCAAAAAAGTTATTAATAATTCTCCCAGATAGCCTTTTAAAAGTTACAAATAGCACCTTCAGATAAGTCTCGAAACGTTGCTAGTAGTGCCCAGATAAGCGTCTTAAAGCATTATAGATATTACTCTTAAGGATGTGTTAAAAAGTTACTGAACCTTTATGTTTACTACTCACTCACCGTTTTGTTTTGCGGGTGATGCTACATATATACTTCTGACTTCATGAAAAATTATCGTCATTTCAATGTTTGCGTAAATCTGTTGTTATATTGTGTAGGATATCCTCGACATCTTAATACATATGAATAAGCAAGGACTTTTGAGATAAATTGATATCCTAATTAATTAATTAATTAGTTAATTGTATTTAATTATAGGTTCGGTGGTGACACTAGCGAAGAGAATGCTTTCCCGATCCTTTCAAATTAATAGATAAGTTCATTGTTTACAACAAAATGAAATTGTTTTCTTTTATAGGTTAATCTCAAAAAGAGTTTCAAGCGTAAATTTATTAGTTAATATATACAGGGTCGCCAAAAAGTCACGCACCCAAAAAAATATTTGAATATCTCCATTACGGCTTGAGTAAACGAGCTGATCCTTTTACCAAGGATAGAGTCATGTTCAAGCTTTATATCCATAAAGAGAAGCCTAGAGAGACTCTTTGTCAAGTATCACTATTGATCTCAACAAAAAAAGTTTTACTCTTTCACAGATCGGAAAAAACAATGAACATATAGCATTTTACTGAAAAAATTGAGTATTATCGTCATCTATCAATCGAATAGGCTGGTTTTTTTTACCATGATAAAGACGTGTTCAAAATTCATATTTTTTTATCGTAATAATCATAATTTCTTACGTAGTTTTTTTTTTGATATCACAAGTAAATCGTAATCCTTTATTAATGTTCGAGTTAGAGATACTAGCATACCAGAATTTATCACAGTAAAAGTGAGTTTTGCTCGCGTTGTGTCAATATTCAAACCAGTAAAAAGATGAATCTTTTTCTATTACAATTAATAGTGCTACTTCCCAACAGCATTTTACAATATTCCTCTTATAGATAGGAACTTTGAACACGTCGTTATCATGGTAAAAAACCAGCCTATTCGATAAAAATATGACAATGATACTCGATTTTTTCAATAAAATGATATATGTTCATTTTTTTTCCTATCTGTGAAAAAGTGAAAATTTTTTTGCTGAGGTCAATAGTGATACTTAACGAAGAGTCTCTCTAGGCTTGCTCTTTATGGATATAAAGCTTGAACATGCGTCTATCGTTGATAAAAGAATTAGCTCGTTTGCTCGAGCCTAATGGAGATATTCAAATATTGTTTTCGGATGTATGACTTTTGGACCACCCTGTATTGACTTGTTTCAACTTCAAATCGACCCTAGGATCAAAATCATAAGTAAGTTTCACTAGATGAGAGCTAAGATAGGTTTGAACAAATTAACTTAACTAAATTTCTCTTTTTATTTAGATTGACGTCAAGAGTATATCAAAAGTGAGATAAACTTGACAATACAAACTAAACTGAAATTTGTTCTTCACTTTAGATTAACTCGAAGATCAGCTGTGTGGTAAGATGACTTTGGAAATATGAACTAATCTGAAATTCTTTCTTTTAGTTTAGATTGACTTCAAGATTGGATCTAAGGTAAGATGAATTTGAGAAAATAAACGAAAATACTTTTTTTGTTCTAGTTCAGCTCCAAGATGTAACAAGGGCAAGTTATTTTTGAGAACAAACTGCTAGGGGGTGAAAAAAATAGCAGTGTCACACTCGTCCACCGAGTCGCTACGAGTTACTTGTCGTTCGGATGTTATATGATGTCACCTATACTCGAAAAAGTTCGCTTTCTTGAGTACAGAAAGCATTAGTTAACACATGAATGGTATAAGTGAGTCGTAGTGACTCGATGGGCGTGTTTTTTTCTGCTATTTTTCTCATTTCGTATTGTATCGGTAGAAGTTAGTAAAGGTTTAGCTCAAAGGCAAATATACGAAACCTTTTTCCAGCAATCACTCGAATGGTTTTATACGGAATCTTGATTGCGAAACCTTTCCTTCAGTTTGAGAAAGAAGGTTTTGTACAAAACCTTTATTACGAAACCTTTTTTTATCATTTTTTAAAAACGGTTGGATACAAAACCACCTCTTTTACGAAACCAAAAAAGGATCTTCCCGTGTAACTGCGGAATGAACCTTTTTAGGTTCGGTAAAAATCCTTTTGTTTTAGAGTGTGAAGTACAAGTGAAGTATTGTGAGACACAATACTTCATGGTACTTCACTGGTATTTCATGATGTTTCACTCGTACTTCACTTGAGCTTCACTCATAGTTCAGCATACTTGCATTGTATTTCATTCTCACTTCGAAGTACTGAAGTCGCACTTTGTTATCCTTGCTGAGAACCTACCAACGTCTCAGCACCCTTTCAGCAATTTTAGGTGCTGAGGTGCTGTAGTTACCTCCGTGGATACAACACACCTATATAGTAGAGAGACAAAGAGAAAGAGATGAGCATGGAAAAGAACGATAGAGAGATGATAAAGAGGAGAGAGGAAAGGAAGGTCAGCGCGAGGTTATATCAATATCAACACATCTTTCAACGCAGATCAGACACGCTTCTGGGTGCCATTACAACATTAGAAAAAGGAAAAGAAGCAATGATAAATACTGAAGAGAAGAAAAGGTAGGAACAGCATTGAACACTAAGATTTGTAGCATTCCTTTGAATGACATCTTTTCACATTCATATGCGAGATCATTTAGCGATTTGCATATCATTCAAAGATTTGCACAACGACATAAGAACAACAATAGCATCACTGTTGGAGTTAAAATTAGGGTAGTTATAACTCGAGTTATAACTTTTGAGTAATAACTGATCAACTTTTTGAAAAATAGTTTTAACTCCAACAGTGAATAGCATACAATACACGAAAAATCCAGAACGACTTGATGATCCCACGGAAATAAATAACATAGAAATATTCATTTTCATAAATTTATTTAGTATATATAGACATTTTTCATAACATAGAAGAGACAATCATTTATATTCATAGAATTTATAACAAAGATATTATCAACCACGCATTTTCACACTTATATGTATTTTCTTACAATATCATTGCATTAAGACACAGAAAGCAAACTCATAAGTTTC